GAGCGGAAGTGGCGCGACGCCGATCTGCTCATGGCTCCAGGCTGTAGACACAACAGACGAATCCTATCTGTGAGAAAGAGTGCTACTAAGTTAAACGTCAATAACCGTTTTATGAGCTCCATCTTCATCAGTGTAGTCTAGTCGGTTAGGATACTCGGCTCTCACCCGAGAGACCCGGGTTCAAGTCCCGGCAACGGAAACTTTTTTTCAGTCCCATGCTTATGCTTTGGTTCCGGAGTGATTAGACGAGTCCTTGGGTTACCGCCGCCGCCGTCGCCGCCTCCGCTGCCTCCCCCTCCTCCTCCGCCTCCTCCGCTCCTTCCTTCACTATAAGCACATCTGTTACTTTCCACTCGGAGATTAAAAGGAGTCGCTTCGTGGCGGTAGCAGTGCCAGTGGGGTCTGCAGAGGAGGCGATGCGCGTTTTGGATGAGGTGAGAGGGGAGAGGTGAAGGGGGGAGGGGAAAGGCAAGAGGGAAGAGGTGAAGGGAGAAGGAGGGAAGTGAAGTGGGGACGAGGTACCTGCGCCAGTGGGGTGTGCAGAGGAGGCGGTGCGCGTATTGGATGAGGTGAGAGGGGGGAGGGGGGAGGAAGACGGGGGGAAGGGGGAGGAAAAAGGGGAGGGGGGGGGAAGAAAGAGAGAGGGGGGAGTGGGGAGGGGGGAGAGGGGAGGGGGGAGGCGGAGGGGGTGGGGGGGGGGGAGGGGGAGAGGGGGGGGGGTGGAAGTGAGGGGATTGTCCGGGCGCCGCAAAGAGGAATGAGATAGCGGCGTTGCTCAAGTGGCGACAGATTGGTCCTCCGAGATGTTAGCGCCAGTGGGGTCTCCAGAGGAGGCAATGCGCGTGTTGGACGAGGTGAGAGGGGGGAGAGGGGGAGAGGGGGAGAGGGGAGGGATCACCCCAACTTAAAAGTCACCTCACATGGGTCCTCAGAGAGATCCGCGCCAGTGCGGTCTCCAAAGGAGGCAATGCGCGTGCTGTCCTCACCTCCCCGCTCGTGCTACCCTTCTTGCATGGCCACCCTGCCTCCTCGCCCCACCCCGCCAGGTCAAAGATTCGTCAGCCAGTCACAGCTGCTGGGCGTACAAGGTGCGATGATGCTCGACATGGTGACAATCACCTTATGGACCCTGCTCGTTCTGTGTTACCCTACTCTGGCGTGCCCTCCCCTCCTCCTCCTCGCCCCACCCCACCAGGTCAAAGATTCGTCAGCCAGTCACACCTGCTGGGCGTACAAGGTGCGATGATGCTCAACATGGTGACAATCACCTTATGGACCCTGCTCGTTCTGTGTTACCCTACTCTGGCGTGCCCTCCCCTCCTCCTCCTCGCCCCACCCCGACAGGTCAAAGATTCGTCAGCCAGTCACAACTGCTGGGCGTACAAGGTGGGTTTTGAGTTGACTCAAAACACGACTCACCTCCCCGCTCTTGCTACCATTCTGGCTTGCCGTGCCCTCTTACCTCTCCAGGTCAAAGATTCGTCAGCCAGTCACAACTGCTGGGCGTACAAGGTGCGTCCTTCGGGTTTTAACATTTAGGCATATCTAAGGTGCTCCTGCACACTCAACTACACCCTCAATCTGAAAGTGATGACTTTTGAGTCGACCAGAATGGTTATCCCGCCCATCGTGTTTTGTGCTGGTATGCCTGATGCTAAGCTATCCCCGCCCACCGTTTTCCGTCCCCCATGCAGATTTCGCCAGCATATCGGTTCAATGATGACGGGGAGCCGGGAGGAACAGCCGGGCGGCCGATTTTGGCAGCTATTGAGGGGGCGGGGGTGGATGGTGTCATGGTAGTGGTAACCAGGTAACCAGGTAGAGTGTAACACCTCTGCGTGAGTAATGCCAAACACAAGTCATCCTGGTTCCTGCTTTCCTTCGTTTTAAGCAATTGAGGGGAATTAACAACTCTAGTACTAAATTTCACTGTAATGGGAAGAACAATGCCTGATGTCGCCGAATGCTTCCTTCCTTGCTCCATTCCTTTCCCCATTCCTAACGTGAAGGTACTATGGGGGAGTGAAGCTAGGAACAGGCGGTCTGGTGAGGGCGTATGGCGGAGCAGCAGCAGGAGCACTGCGAGAAGCCACGCTGGTTCCAGTCCTGCGAAAGGTGTGGTTATCTCCCACCCAGGTATGTGCGTCGAGCCAAAGGGTTATCCTGAGAGATCGGCATATGCAACACCAAGGTGCATCCATCTCTCACCCAGGGATGTATGTTGTGCTAGATGGGGTTGGAGGAAAGATTGCTTCTGAAGCGCCTCAGATGTCGTTGTCTGTATTGCTCTGTTCCTCTTATGGCAGGTGGCTTTTGAGGTGCCTCTGAAGTAAACTATCTTCATGTATCTCAATATATTTCTCTCGTGGCAGGTGGCCCTCAAAATAGTTGCGCCAGTGTACCACGTTGGACTTCTCTACTCTGTGGTATGTACACTTATGCACTATATTGCAATGAGTGCTCTATATTGTAACAGTTTCATTTCTGCTGGTGCTGTACAATCCATGCGCTCATCTGGATTCCCAATTTCCAAACATTTGTAACCCGTTTCTCACCTCTTATGTCACCCGTTTTTGCCTTAGCAAATTGTAACGTCGCCCAGATTCAACATCCTGAATACGCGATTGAGAGATTATCGGAAAGCTATCGTGAAAGTGAGGATGGACAAGGCAGTGTAGTTGAGCTTCAGGTTATGGCTCTTGCAGACAATGTTCCCAAGCTTCAAGATGCATTGTCGGATACCTTGAGAGGAGATGTGTTGGTAACGAATGGAGATTAATAAACACGTGTTGGATAAATGCGCAGTGTATCAAGCATCATTTCAGCATGTTTTTTTGAGGTTGTTTCTCGGGTGACAGTTAGCTGATTCGGGTACGGTAACGGTACATTCCTTCCAGACGTGACATGTCTAGAAAGAAAGTGTCACAAAAATGTGATACTCCGAACCACGAAAAGTCGCGATCTTGCCAGATGTCTTACTAAGAGTGGCTCGTTTCTTGATTTCAGAGCATCACAATTAGTCACTATTATTTTTTCGGAGTACAACAATTACTCATACATACGTTTGCGACACTTCCTTTCTGGACATGTCACGTCCGGAATGCACCCTTAGAACAGTCAAATGGGAGTTTTGACGGGGCATAAAATAAAAAGTGGCCAATCTCAGGGAATACTGTGCAAAACCTGCCAACATGTGCAAAGAAGGACGCCTTCAGCTGCTGTAGCATTGGATACTGAAGAAGCACAGATGATGTCAATTATTTCCTGCCAGAGATACGTAAGCCTTTTAAAGCCAGGATCTCAAGTAGTTTGGCTGTTTTGCAGTTAGTGAATTGTGTTAGGCTGTGATTGGTTGACGAGGTAGAGTAGTTGACGAGAGCTGAAACGAGGGATGCGAAGCAAACAAAAATCGCAGTGAACTTCCGAACCAACTAGGCACGGAAATCTGGTTGGGTTCCGAAGCTCATTTCCCAGCAATGTGTCTCGCCGAAAAATCTCATGCACAGCAATTTGTTTTGCAATTGAGATTCACGGTCAAATCGGGGATCAGTCGCACACTGAACCTCCAACCCAACCACTCGATTTCGCCTAAACAAACAGGGTGACTCGAGCTGCAAGTGTTTTGCAATTGAAGCCAATTTCTCTTACTTGAGATCCTGGCTTTAAATTTCACTGCCAATAGACGATTGCGAGAACGAACCAAACATGGTAGTACCGGGACTGACAGAACTCCCACTAAAGAACGCTCAACTTTTATTGGCTCCATATGTTCACCAATCACACCTCCCAACTGATTTCAGTCGCCACCCTTCCTTTTCGGAATGACATGGGTCACAGTTCACCAACGCGCGCACCAATCCGTAACTTTCGCGCCTCTTACGAACATCTAGGAACCTCGAGTGAGCCGTCCCTTGGCCTCACGAGCCACCTCCGAGCGGTCAATCCCAGCCGTTCCTTTCGCATTTGGGGCCATATACCGTTCAGTCGGTCATGTCCCAACTTGCTGATGTCCGCAAACCATTCGTTATTGCGAGGAATAGAACTGCACCGTACTGAAATCCTTTGTTGTTCCGCACGGAACTAGTGAAGGTGAACGTTAGTGTTGTTGTTCCCAAGGCTTGAAGCGCGGGTACCACAGGTGCTCCGCGCCACTGTCAGAGGTCTCAACTTATCAGCCGACCCTTTTTTTCGACCCTTTTCCACCACAAACAGCAGAACATGTGCCCGATGAGCGAAAACCCGATCCGCAAGAATCGAGTCGGCCAGATCCTATCATTGCCTAGCCATGGCATTATTGAGCCCTTGCCTTTCCCAAGAGCCAAACTAGCCTCCTTACTGCAAGGGTTCTAGTGGTGGTAGATTGTTTATTTGTGGAGCTGTGCTGGCGACAGCACTGCCTCGTAGGTCTGTTATTCCCAAGAACCGCCATACCCCCTTCTGTGACAACAGCATAGGAATAGCAGCCAATGGTTGTGCAGATCAACCTTGACCGTTCCATTGTCGAACTAGCCAAGGTTCGCTCCCGAGATCCACAGGGTCAGTACGCAGCTCTTATGGTTATCGGGAGACTACCTAGAGGTCTCCGAAACCGTGCGGATTTTGCCAGGAGCCCAACGCTGGCCATTCGAAAAATGGCGGCTACTTCGCGCGCGCGCAGAGCCAGGTTACTGACACGGGATTCGTTGATTGAGGAGCCAGGCTTGCATTGGCCGGCGGGCCGCCGTAGACGAGTCGGGCGTGGAGTGTCTTCGACGGAACGGCACGAGATGATACAGCTTCGGTCAGACTACTAGTTACAGCTAGCGATGCCTATTAATCAACCATCTGAGACTCTCGAGCCATATTCTCCACGAGTCGCCAGAGAAGCATTCTTTCACGAATCTACCTTCCTACGAAGATTCCCTGCTCAACTAAGCTGGAGTAACTCGGACTAAAACCAATTCGAATATATCGTTATCACCTTCCTTCGCACCACTGTAGACCGATTCCCGCATTGGATCATGGGTTTTCAGAGCGCGACCCTCGCCGCATCCAACGCTACTTCTCTCGCGTGCCGAGCTGGCAACTCCAGCCGCCAGCTCAAGCCAGAACACGGCTGCACCAGCAGCTACATCCAGGTCCCCCACCGCGTCGCATCCTCCCCTTCATATCTCCGTGCACCGTCGTATTCCTCGCGGGTCCGCAGGCAAATCTCGGCTTTTCCGCTGCGGGTTGCTGCGGAATCTTCCCCCGCAGATACTGCCACTGGCAAGCCTGGCGGCTCTAAACCCGGCAGTTCCAAGCCTAGAGATGTGATTCCCGCCGCTGCTGCTGCTGACGGTCCGGCGGTTGTAGCGGGAGCTACAGCCGTCCTGGAGGCGCCTGCGGTGCTACAGCCGTCGACGGCGGCCGGCAGCGACCCAGATGCGGTCCGGCTGGTACCCCGTGTGGAAGAGCGCAACGGGTATTGGGTCCTAAAGGAGGAGTATAGAACGAGTCTTAATCCCGCGGAGAAGATTAAGATTGCCAAGGAACCGATGACGCTGATCGCGGAAGGGGCTAAGGCGCTTCGGGAGCTGGCTCTAAAGACCATGGCGGAGGTGGATGGGAGTAAGGAGACGAAGGATGACATCGACTCGCGGTTCAAGTGGCTGGGGCTGTTCCACCGTCGCAAGCAGCAATGTGAGTTTGTGGCTCTGACGCCCATATCGCGGTTTTTTATTTTGTGATTCTATCGTAGCACTTGCGTTTTGGACTTCGTACCTCTAGGCCCCACCCTCCTCTTCTCCCCCTCCCCCTTCCCCCTCTTACCCCCCGTTTCCCCGCTGCAAACGGTCGCTTCATGATGCGCCTGTGGCTGCCCAACGCCATCACGACGAGCGAGCAAACCCCTTTCCCCTATCACCCCACCCTGTTCCCCCCGCTCCATCACCACCCCCCCTCTCCCCCGCTACAGACGGTCGCTTCATGATGCGCCTGCGGCTGCCCAATGGCATCATTACAAGCGAGCAGACGCGGTTCCTCGCTGACGTCATCGCCCGTTACGGCGAGGAGGGCGTGGCGGACATCACGACGCGACAGAACTGGCAGATCCGCGGAGTGACGCTGCAGGACACGCCGGATATTATTGATGGATTGAACAAGGTACAGAGCGGTGCAGTGGGGTTGAATTGAGTACGTGGGATGATAGAGGAGGTAGAGAGCGGTGCTGAGGTGTGGGAGTGGGTAGGTGAGGAGGGCGTGACGGACATCACGACGCGGCAGAACTGGCAGATCCGCGGGGTGACGCTGCAGGACACGCCGGACATCATTGTGGGGTTGAACAAGGTACAGAGCGGTGCAGGGGGGTTGAACTGAGTATGTGGGACTAAGGAGGTGGTACAGAGCGGTGCTGAGGGGCGAAAGAGGGTTGGCGAGGAGGGCGTGGCGGACATCACGACGAGGCAGAACTGGCAGATCTGCGGGGTGACTCTGCAGGATACCCCGGACATCATGGAGGGGTTGAACAAGGTACAGAGCGGTGCTGGGGGGTTGGAGGGAGTACTTGGAGTGAGTACGTGAAGGGAGTACGTGCAGGGATTACCTTCTCCAACTCCACCTCCCTCCCCCACCTCTCTATGCGTCGTTGTCTCTCTTCTCAGGTAAGTCTCTGCTTTTCAAGGGATTAAGAGTTGCATGGTCAATGTGCGGGGTGGGTGGACAACCCTCTTACAACCACCCCCTTCCCCGGCCCCCCCACTGCTCTTTCCCTCCTCTTCTTCGCATTCACGTTAATCTACGGTTCATTCAGAGCGGAATGGACAATGCGCGCAACGTGGTGGGCAACCCATTGGCGGGGATCGATCCGCTCATACCATCCCCCACCCTTCGCCCTCCCCCCCCCACACATCATCCACACCCCCTGGCAGGTGAACCTGCGGTTCATTCAGAGCGGAATGGACAATGCGCGCAACGTGGTGGGCAACCCACTGGCGGGGATCGACCCGCTCAAACACCCTCCCTTACTCCCCTTCCACCCCACACCATCCCTCCTGGCAGGTGAACCTGCGGTTTATTCAGAGCGGAATGGACAACGCGCGCAACGTGGTGGGCAACCCACTGGCGGGGATCGACCCACTGGAGATCATCGACACACGGCCCTTCTGTCAGGCCATTGATGACGTCATCACGGGGCACGGCGAGGGCAACACGGCTCTGTCCAACCTGTGAGTCCGTGTGCGTGTGTGTGTTTGTGTGGTTAGCTTTTTGAATCGGTTCAAAACCCACCTCCACCTTGTGGTGGGCAACCCACTGGCGGGGATCGACCCCCTCGAGATCATCGACACACGGCCCTTCTGTCAGGCCATCGATGACGTCATCACGGGGCACGGCGAGGGCAACACGGCTCTGTCCAACCTGTGAGTCCGTGTGCGTGTGTGTGTTTGTGCTTCTCAAAGGCGTGGCTGGAGCCTTTTTTCAATGCATGAGAAAGGCAACTGCTGTGCGATCCTGTAAGGTGCATTTTCTAAAATGCATTTTCTTGTGTTCGAGTGGTGGTGGTGAGGTGACCCTGTGAGTGTTGTGTGGTGGTGGTGTTTCGCAAGTGTAATACGGTAATATTGCGTTCCTCTCCCACCCCCCTCATTCTCTTCCGCTCTCTCAAACCCTCCCCCCGTACAGGCCCCGCAAGTGGAACGCCAGTGTGGTGGGCTCACACGACCTCTTCGAGCATCCTTTCTCTCCCCTCTGGCTTTCCCATTTTATAACCGTCCCACTTTCCCCTCATCCCCTCTCCCTATTTCCCCCCCAACACAGCCCCACAAGTAGAACGCCAGTGTGGTGGGCTCACACGACCTCTTCGAGCATCCCCACAGCAACGATCTCGCCATCTCCCATTTTACAAGCGCCCACCTTCCACCTCTTCCCCCCTCCCCTACTCTCTCCCCCCTTTCTTCCCCCCATACAGTCCGCGCAAGTGGAACGCCAGTGTGGTGGGCTCACACGACCTCTTCGAGCATCCTCCCCTCCCCCTTCCTCTTTGTCTCTCCCAAATCCAAATATTCTCCCCCTTTCCCCCCACCTTCAATACCCCCATGCAGTCCGCGCAAGTGGAACGCCAGTGTGGTGGGCTCACACGACCTCTTCGAGCATCCCCACATCAACGATCTCGCCTTCATGCCAGCCCTCCGCCGAACCTCGGACGGAGGTTCGGAGGGGGAGATGGGGTTCGAGATGCACGTGGGGGGGTTCTTCAGCAGCAAGCGGTGCGAGGAGGCGATCCCGATGGACGCGTGGGTGCCAGCTCAGCCTGCTGACGTGGCGGCTGCCAGCAAGGCAGTGCTGGAGGCGTTCCGGGACCTTGGGAGCCGCAGCAACCGGCAGAAGACGCGGATGATGTACCTTATAGAAGATCTGGTGAGTAGGCTTATAGAGGATATTTTTGCATAGTAGAGCTGGTGAGTTGGGCCATAGAGGAGCTGGTGAGTGCCTTATAAAGTTTAGGGTTTAGAAAGCACAAAAAAAATGAAGTCTTTTCTGAGCCTCAGAAATTGCCACTAACTGTGCACTTCCTTTTTCTTTCCCCTCTTCCCCTCACCTCTGTCCAGGGCATGGAGGTGTTTCGAGCTGAGGTGGAGAAGCGCATGCCCAATGGCCACCTGCCACGTGTCAGCACCGCCGCCACCAGCAACGGCACCACCACCACCAACGCCGCTACTGCTAACCCCTCAGTCCACTCCCTTATTGATCCATCCTGGTCCCGCCGATCCTACCTGGGGGTGCATCCCCAGAAGCAGCCTGGTTTGGTCTATGTGGGTCTGCACGTGCCTGTGGGCCGGGTTCACCCGCCGACCCTGCACGAGCTCGCGCGACTGGCCGAGGAGTACGGCTCGGGGGAGGTTCGGCTGACTGTGGAGCAGAACGTGATTATACCGAACGTGCCTGAGGGGAGGGTGGCGGAGCTGCTGAAAGAGCCGCTATTGGTCGGGGGAAGTGGGGGGCTGGAGGCGGGGGGAGAGAAAGGGGAGGGGGAGGCGGGGGCGGAGGAGGGGAAGGGGGAGGGATGGTATGGGTTGAGGGCACAGCCAGGGAATCTGATGGGTTCCCTGGTGGCGTGCACTGGTAACCAGTTCTGCGGGCAAGCTATCATTGAAACCAAGCAGAGGGCGCTGCAGGTGAGAGAGGGGCGCTGCAGGTGAGAGGGGCGCTGCAGGTGCGTGGGTTTAGGGTGTCGCTTGTGGCGTGCCTTGCGAAACAGTTTTTGTATGTTCCTTGCTAAGGTGAGTTGGGACGTTATGGTGATTTGCCAACTCAATCGTCGCGTGTGACGTGCCTTGCGAACCAGTTTTGTATGGTCCTCTCTTGCTTCTGCTCCTCATGCTCATGCTCCCCCATCTCCTTGTTTATATATGTTTTTCTTCAGGTCACACGACAGCTGGAAGAGACTTTAAATCTGCCCGACCCTGTGAGGATCCACTGGACCGGCTGCCCGAACTCTTGTGCGCAGGTGAGGTCTAAAAACTTTGACCAGCATTTACTTCACAGTTCATTTTGGGCTATATGTAATATATATATATATATATATATACATTGGCTGGATGTTCAGATGTCCTTTTTTAACCCTTTCCCTGTTTGTCCCCCACAACCACAGGTGCAAGTGGCAGACATCGGCCTGATGGGGTGTATGGCAAGGGACGAAAACAAGAAACCCGTGGAGGGAGTTGACATCTATATGGGCGGCAGAATCGGATCTGATTCTCATCTGGGGCAGGTGCACAAGGCAGGTGTACCATGCAAGGACCTGGTACCTGTCCTTCAGGATATACTTGTGGAGAGGTTTGGAGCAACAAGAAAGTAACGAGAGAGCATTACTATTCAGCACCTGCATTGTTGCAGGCTGCCTGCTGCCTGATGTTTGGAGTGATTAGAATCACACCTGCTGCAAATGCTTGTTCAGTTTGTTAAATTGTTAAATAAATTATGTCTTTGTATATGTTGGCATTACGGTGGTTTCTTGGGAAGTTGATACATTAACCAGCTAGTTTATTATGAATTATAGAGACCTTGGATATGATACATTGGTAGACTGCATGCTAGAGCAGTGTTGGGAATGCAGGAGTCAAGACTTGTGATGTGACTCACGCCCACATTATGCAATATTTTTAGGGGAGCTGCTCCAATATTCAGATGGTGCTGTTCATATGGCGTACCACAATGGAATATGGAGGTACACATGATGCCCAACCCGTGCACGCGAATTTGCCCTGTACCGGATGGAAACCCTGCACCCGAGGTTTTTCCCCCAGCCAGTTGCACGCCCGTTACAAGCACGTCGCGCAAGTTGCAGTGGTTATGAACCAATAGTAACGAACAGACCGAAGTCACACTGAAGAGACTGAAGTCAAAATGTCAACGGATAGGTTACAAAAGTTTTATAAGCACCTGACGAATCCTTTTTTGCTAGCTGCGAATCGACGAAATTTAGGCGAAATTCGGGTTACAGCTTATAAGCCCCCTTTACAAGGCAACCGGGAGTGGCTCAAACGGGCATCATGTGTACTGCACACCTCTTGCTGCCAATCTGGACACCTCGGCCCATACGTTTCAGGTGACTATCCAGATTCACATGGAGCCAAAACCTGATCCGACATGCGTCTCGTGGTTAGCAATTAGGTTTGGACACACCTGAGAATCTATCCAGTCGGGAACAAGCAACGTGACAGGTCGGATCCAGCACAGCACCATCTCGCTGAAGCCTAGCTCGCGCGTGCCGCAGAGAAACAAACACAGCCGCGACTCGGTCGCTCTGTCTCCCTTCCCTTCCCCTCTCCCTACCTCATTCGCCTCACATAAATGTTAGAACCCTAACATTTCCTTCCAACATCAGCATTGCAACTTCTCTAGTGGGCCTTTAGAAGAGAAAGATCTCAATTCGACTGTACGTTACTCCTAATCTGTATTGTAATTCCCTACGACTAAGCGCACACCCTCGCTTCTCACTTCCCTCCTAGGTTTCCTGAATGGCTAGAGCCGCGCTTCTCGCGCTGTCCCTGGCGCTGCTGCTCGCAGTCGCCCGCGCTGGCAGCCCCCTGACGAGCGCCACCGCGAACGAGAAACCCGACCCGAGCAGCAAGAAGGACGACGGGCTCATGACCGAAGTTCCCGCGGATATCGCGATGCTCGCCGTGACGGGCAACGCGGCGGGAGTCACTTACGTGGATACGGCCCAGGATTCGTTTTTCATGGCTGATGTGAAAAAGGCAGGCTGGAACGCGCAGAAATGCCCGCCTGGATTGAACAAGGAGCTGGCGGGAGCGTGCACGCCGAAAAATTGTTCCAAGGGCGGCATCCCCGCTAAGTGGAAAACCGCTTACCTGCAAAAGAACAAGCTGGGTTACGAGCTGTACGTGCCGGGTAACCCGCTGACGTTGCTCAAGGCGAACCCCGCGTCGTGCTGTAACACCTGCGCCGCGACTCCGCTCTGCACGTACTGGCAGTACATTCCCGATATTACCATCGACGGGAAGAAGGGCAAGGGCGCGTGTTATCTGATCCACGATCAGATTGATTTCACCTGCGGAGAGATGACCGCGCAGTACTCGACTGAGACGAAGCCGGTGAATCTCCAGGTGCGCATCGGTGGAGAGTGCAACCCTAGCGCAAAGATCCTCAACGACCCGCATTTGGTCGGCGCTCACGGCACGCATTTCGACTTCAACGGCCGGCCCGACAAGGCGTTCTGCCTGCTCACGGACCGCGATCTTCACGTGAACATGCTGCTGAGGGGTTACTATGACGAGCGCACCGACAACGCCGCGCTCGTGGTCGACGGAAAGGCGGTGCACACGTGGATTAAGGAGCTCGGGATCGTCTGGACCGCTCAGGGCGCGGACCACAAGGTTCGGCTCGCGGCGCGCGGCGGCAAGCAGCAGGAGCGCGGCGACGGGTTCATGAAGAGCATCGAGATTGACGGCGAGGAGATTCCGAGGATGAAGGTTGGCGACACGGTGACGAGCGACGGCGGGCTGACGGTTCACTTCCGCGGGCTCGAGAAGGAGGGACCGTTCGATGTGGATTACTACATGCTGACGATCGACGGTCTGATTTCGCTGGACCTGCGCCTGCGCGTCGCGCACCCGAAGCTGCAGACCCCGACCGACGCGGAGGCGCACATCAACGTCGGGATTGCCGAGCTGGAGCACACAGAGGAGATTCACGGTGTGTTGGGGCAGACTTACCGCGCGGATCATTCCCAGCGTGCTTCGGATTTCCAGCGTTTGATCGCGAGCCTGCACCGTCCGATTTCGGCTGATGGCGCGGAGGGGAAGGGGTTCCTGGATGGTACACCCAGGTCGTATGAGGCGAGTGATGTGCTAGCTGTGGACTGCGCTTATACCGCGTATGGCCGCGCCAGGAAGGTTATGCCCGTGCAACAGTTCCCCTAAAGGGTTGACTCGGTGACAGCTTTTATATTTGTATTGTACAGTGGGCTGCTTTGGATACTACTGTAGGTTTATAGATAAGTTGGCCGATTTGTTTATTCTTCCGACAATGATATCAAACATGAGAAACTTTCACATTCATTGACCTGGTATGCAGCATTGACATCCAGAAACGTAGTCCATCTGTTCAACATAATCATCTCACTAGTAACATGCATCTAGACATCCATCTAAGACGGATTCTACCTTTGAGCTACCCTGCTTGTCTAGATTTATTATTTTCTGTTGACTTGACCTAATGAATTGCAATAACATGCCAACAACAGATGCTAGTGGTGCTGCCACAGGTTGCTGCAGAGAAACTACGGCAGGGGAAGGTTGTGGCATCCTGGGGCAGATTGTTGCACAGTGTAGCATTGATGAAGGAGGTTACAGCACGGGGACAGGGGCAGGTTGCAATGCAGCAACAGGAGCAGCTTGTAACGAGGCTACAACTGCAGTACCAGCAGGCGGTGGCGTTTGTGACTCAAACGAAGCCTGCATTAGCTCCACACCAGCACCAAACCCCCCTGCGCCTGTTACACTCTCCAACAGCAATGCAGGTGGAACAGAGGCGTCTGGAGCAGCTGCTGCTGCTGCCGCTGCTTGGGATGCGCATGCTACAGAAGGAGCCGCAGCAGCAGCAGGAACAGCAGCAGGGGGCGCAGTGGCGCAGGGGGCAAAAGGGACAGCAGTGGGGGCAGTGGGGGCAGAGAGGGCAGTGGGGACACTGGCGAAAGAGAGGGGGGTGGTTGTGGTTGCGTGGGCTGGTGGATATGTGGGAGACCCCTGTGACATGGCAGACTCAGAGGAGGAATTGACGGCGGCTGTGGTTGGTACAGGTGTAACGGAAAGGTGAAGCGCCTGCGCCTGGGTCTGTGCTGCTTGCGCCTGCGCTGCTTGCGCTTGCGCTGCTTGCACCTGCGCAGCCTGCGCGGAAGCTTCTAACGCCCGTTGCAGCCCCGAAAGCTCATGCTGCGCTACAAGCAGCTCCGTTTGCAGATGAACGACGTGCTGCTGCAGTAACGAAATTGCGCTCACGCAACCATACACCGGGTCTTGAACTCGCGCCTCCGCCTCATACGCCATGCTATTCGCCGCATCTCCGCGTAGCTCCGGCGGAAGCTCCGTCAGGATCCGCGTGACGTTGCTCGCGCCAAACACGCGGTGAACGTTTGCGAATCGCCCCGGCTGGTCCGGCGGGAAGTACGGCGCGAAAACGCACTCCGCGGTGCATTTCCGCCGGAGGAACTTGCACGCGGCGCACGGGGACGCGGTTCGACCGTGAGGCGGCTCCTCGATTGTACCTTGCGGAGAGGAAACTGCTGCTCCAACCAGCGTTTTCTGCGCTGAGGAAATCGCGGCGGCAGATGCGGTTGAAGTGTCGGAGGCGCTCGCGCTCAAAGACGATACGGCGGAAGCCGCCATTGACGCCGCCGTCGAAGCTGTTGCTGGAGCTGGTGCTCGTGTTTCGACAGGGGTGGTTTCGCGAGAACTAGTATCCATAACCGCCTGATGCGCAGCTCGCCTGTTTCTGCGCCGGCCTGTGGCTCCGCTCGCCTGCTGCGCCGCTCGTCTGTTTTTTCGCCCGCCTGTTGTTCCGCTCGCCTGCTTCTCTTTGAAGACCAAGCGGGGCCACTCCACCGACGCAGGCTGACTATTCACCAGGTTGAAATGCCACCTAACCTTCGTCTTCTAAGCCTTACTCTTGGGGGGCAAGCTTGCTGAGACCTCTCCGTCAGTACAGCCTAGTATGTGTTTTCTCCAGCTGTAGGGCGAGAGTGACTGTGACGGTCTCGTCGGGACCTATCGTCATTGCGTCACCCTCGGCGATTCGGACCTCCCCAGCAGCGCAACGGTGCTAATAAAGCGAATCAATGGTGTGTCGCAGAGATGCTCAAGTGGATTTGGAAGTTCTTTGCTTCCAGAAAAATGCGGTACGGCGGAGCTCCTAATGGATCACAGAAGGCCCCGCAACTGGCGGTTACACCTAAGGCAAACCAGGATTATTAAGGCTTAATGGTTAGGAAAGTGTGGCAGATAAAACTCGCGGCAACTCTTGTTGGCGGGGAAGCTGGGGAAATCATGTTCCTGTCAACTGGAGGGAAATGCAGATGTGTGCTGGGGGGAGGGGGTTGGGTGAGAGGGTTTCACTAGAACTGAGAGATGCGTGAGATGGGAGGGGGTTTCCTCGACGTGGAATTGAAATGCGCGCGACGAGCGGTTTCGCGAACAAGGAGAATGGAGGTGCGGTCTGGTTGGGATAGGAGGGTTGACGGGTTGGCTGGTTATGTTACAGTTCAGATGACGGAACATTGTTGTCGGCGATTACGTGACGTCATTTGATGGGGAAAATTGCACGGAAAGGGAAAACGGTCTGCCCGTGGTTGTGTGTGAGCTATGGGTTGACGGATTTTAGAGCTGCACCTTCTCAGTCGCCCATATGTAGGAGTTATCTGGAGCACACATTACTCCAATGGTTTTTAACATTGTTTACGAAATGTAGGGGAGTTCGGTGTGATAAATAAGGTTTTGCTCGCCTTGACTGACCCAGTCAGAGAGGTGAAAGTACACGCCACGCCAGCGAAGTGGATTAGAAAAAGGCGCTTCCAAGTCGCGCGGAAGACAGTGGTGACCAATTACGTTATCCAGAACCTGATTGGCTTTCGTGTTGTTCAGGTGGCGATGACGTGCCAGCCGTCTTTCCCAAGCAGCCTGACAGACGTGGCATTTCAACATTGGTTAGAGTACCACTGCTGGACGTTTAGCAGAAGTCAGCTTGGGAAGCCACCCCAGGAATAATGGAAATGATGACGAATCGGAGCTGTTGTGGCGGAACGTAGTTGGTTGTTGCTGCCGTGTTTGTGGTTGCACGGTTCGGGATTCGGGGACATGCTACTAACGCGTGTCTTTCCAACCGTTCTATTAGAATCATTGAGAATCTCATTTAGGTTATATGCGAATCCATGCTACAAGACCCAAGTTCACTCTGTTTCTGATGGGATTGTGGGAAACCCGAATGTGACACCTAAAATAATAATCTACACCTAGCCACCAAGAGTTACCAGTTAAGAACAAAAAGCTGCCAAGCCTGTGAGGGTATATATATAACTCCAACAACAGCTACAAGATTGACACATACATAATATTACCCCATAAACACATTCTATGAAGGAGTGTCTGCAGCTATTGCTCCAGAGCAAGATATTCACATCTACACCGCAATGGGTTGTACTGCCAGCACCGATCTTACCGAATGCACCCCGTCCGTCCACGTCAGACTGCCAAACGAAAACGCGCCTGTCGTAGCCGTCGGGCGAAGGGTAACCGTGAACGCCTGCGACTTGCCCGGGCGAATCACAAAGCTCGTCGGACGCACCGTCACGGCGACATTCTTCGGAGCAACCACCTTCGCAGAATACCTAGATTGCTTCCCGCTCACATTAATCACACTTCGATACACCGCCACCGTACTCCGTAACTTGGGCACGCAGATATTCGGCTGGTTGAGATTGAACGGCTGGATCGGCGCCACGTTCCACTGCGGAAACGCCGCTTTCGTTTGCGCTCGATCGACCCCCGTCAGAAACGACAAGTAACCCATCATGCCAACATCGTACACCAATCCCGGATCGAGCGCCTTCGCTGGAAAAACGTGCCCCGATCCGTAATTCCAGGGCGAAGCCATCTGTCCCTTCGCAGTCCGGATAAACTTCCTCGCCGTGTTAGTCGTATACGCTGTCGTTAGCATCGCGGATTTCACCGCCGCGGGGCTCCACGTCGGGTTCTTCTGCATGAGAAGCGCCGCGATTCCCGCTATATGAGGAGCAGCCATGGACGTCCCGGAAAGCGCGCGGAAGGATCCTTCAGAGGTAGATCCGGCGGCCATGGGGCCGAGGAGAGAGACGCCCGGCGCGGTGATGTCGGGCTTTAAGATGGCGTTGGTGATCTTGCTGCTGTCGTAGAAGCCTGCAGCGGGATTGACGGCGGGGCCTGCGCCTGAAAAGACGGCCATTTCGGGAGCCACCTGCTTGGGTAGGAAGAGCGCCGAGAGGGTTGCGATAGGGCTGTTTGGGGGGGGGAGAGGGGAGTTGAGGGGATTTGGTGGACAGGGGAGGGTGGGGAGAGGGGGAGGGGGAAGTTAAGTTGGGGGAAGGAGCTGGCCATTTCGGGAGCCACCTGCTTGGGTAGGAAGAGCGCCGAGAGGGTTGCGATAGGGCTGTTTGGGGGGGGGGGGAGGAGAGGGGGAGAGGGTAGAAGTGAGAACGAGGGAGTGGGAAGGAGGGAGTGGGAGATGCGGGAGGAGTGGTACTGGCATGCAAATGGAGCGGTACTGTACTGTACTGTTCCGTACTGTACTGTACTGTTCCGTACTGTACTGTACTGTTCCGTACTGTACTGTACTGTACTGTTCCTTACTGTACTATACCATACTGTACTGTACTCACTTGGGGGTGCTGCGAATATACTCCCGAATTGCTTTGCCCTTCCAGAACACGAGGAACAGCCCCGGCAATCCCAAGGCCACGGCCTTCACCGCGCCCTCCCCGTTCGCGTACGGCACCACAATGATCGCCCGCCCGCCCACCCTCGCCACCTCCGCTGCCTTCTCACTCGCATAGGAGAATCCCGTGCAGCACACCACGATCTTGCCGCGCACCTGTGAGGGTTGGGATGGGAGAAGGACAAGGCAAGGCAAGGGGGGACGGGAGAGAGAAAAAGTGCGTGTCTATGGATGACTGTGCACCCATGCAGGCACCCACCCTCGCCACCTCCGCTGCCTTTTCGCTCGCGTAGGAAAATCCCGTGCAGCACACCACGATCTTGCCCCGCACCTGATGGGTGGGGGTTGAGAGAGGGAGGGATGGAGGGAAGGGTGGGATGGGAGGGAAGGGTGGGTTGCAGGCAGGATGTGCAAAGGGTTGGTTATTTCCCACCCTCGCCACCTCTGCTGCCTTCTCACTCGCGTAGGAGAATCCCGTGCAGCACACCACGATCTTGCCGCGCACCTGCGTGGGTTGGGATGGGAGAAGGACAAGGAAAGGCAAGAGGTGACGGGAGAGAGAAAAAGGGTGTGTCTGTGCACACACGCACGCACCCACCCTCGCCACCTCCGCTGCCTTCTCGCTCGCGTAGGAGAATCCCGTGCAGCACACCACGATCTTGCCTCGCACCTGGTGGGTTTGGTTGAACGAGGGAGGGATGGGAAGGATGAAGTTGAAGGGTGACACGGAGTAGGGCATGCAGGCTTCGGCGAGTCAGGGGGCAGTGCATACGTTTTGGAAGAGGGTGAGGTGCGGGATTCCCAGTTTTTGAGTCGACTAAAACATATGCGGGATTCCCAGTGCATACCTTGGAAGGAGAGAGGGAGTAGGGCACGCAGGCTTCAGCTTGAGAAGCCGTGTACCCGGCAGCAGCAGCAGCAGCGGCAGCGGCCCTCTTGCGGTCCACCAGAGGCAGCCGGCGCGTGGCAGTGCTGCACCCCAGCAGTGGCAGCGGGTAAAGGGGGTGAGGTGAGGGATTCCCAGTGCACGCACCTTGGAAGGAGAGAGGGAGTAGGGCACGCAGGCTTCAGCTTGAGAAGCCGTGTACCCGGCAGCAGCGGCTGTGTTGCCATCCACCAGAGGCAGCTGGCAAGTAAGGGGGCAGTTATGTTGGAAGGGAGTGAGGGACAAGTAAACCCACCTTGGAGGGCGCTAAAGAGTAGGGCACACACGCCTCTGCCTGGGAAGCGGTGTACCCGGCAGCAGCGGCCGTCTTGCCGTCCACCAGTGACAGCTGGCGCGTCGCAGTGCTGCCGCCCAGGAGAGTTTCCCCCAGGTAACTCTGCCTGTTGCCCAGCGACAGCCTGGCTTGGGGCGGCCAGCTTTGGCTGGACGTGCTGGTGATGGGAGGGAAGGAGAACAGAGGCAGGGAGGGGGGTAGAGGAAAGGGGTTAGACAGGGTAGACAGGGGGATGGCTATTGGGCTAAAGACGGGAGATAAGAGGGGAAGTGGGACTGGGCAGCATACACAAGCCTACCTGGCAGCATACACAAGCCTACCTGGCAGCAACACAAGCCTACCTGGCAGCATACACAAGCCTACCTGGCAGCAGCGGGGACGCAGTAAGGTGAGAGGTTGGTGAGGGTGCCATCGGTCCCTCACACGTCAGCCAGTGTAAATACACCTCTAACCCACAGCGTAAGCCTACCTGGCTGCCACGGTGATGTAGTAAGGCGAGAGGTTGGTGAGCGTGCGATAGACCCCTGTCACCCTGCTAGCGCGCTTCGATATGTCCCTCATGTCAATCTCACTTGAACACTTACCCCACCTCACCTGCTATCCACCAACATTCGCCCACCTGGCAGCAACGGTGATGTAGTAAGGCGAGAGGTTGGTGAGCGTGCGATACACCCCTCACGAGGAAACCAGTGTAAATACACCTCCAACCCACAGCACGAGCCTACCTGGCAGCAACGGTGATGTAGTAAGGCGAGAGGTTGGTGAGCGTGCGATAGACCCCTCACGAGGCAACCAGTGTAAATACACCTCCAACCCACAGCACGAGCCTACCTGGCAGCAACGGTGATGTAGTAAGGCGAGAGGTTGGTGAGCGTGCGATAGACCCCTCACGAGGCAACCAGTGTAAATACACCTCCAACCCACAGCACGAGCCTACCTGGCAGCAACGGTGATGTAGTAAGGCGAGAGGTTGGTGAGCGTGCGATAGACCCCTCACGAGGCAACCAGTGTAAATACACCTCCAACCCACAGCACGAGCCTACCTGGCAGCAACGGTGATGTAGTAAGGCGAGAGGTTGGTGAGCGTGCGATAGACCCCTCACGAGGCAACCAGTGTAAATACACCTCCAACCCACAGCACGAGCCTACCTGGCAGCAACGGTGATGTAGTAAGGCGAGAGGTTGGTGAGCGTGCGATAGACCCCTCACGAGGCAACCAGTGTAAATACACCTCCAACCCACAGCACGAGCCTACCTGGCAGCAACGGTGATGTAGTAAGGCGAGAGGTTGGTGAGCGTGCGATAGACCCCTCACGAGGCAACCAGTGTAAATACACCTCCAACCCACAGCACGAGCCTACCTGGCAGCAACGGTGATGTAGTAAGGCGAGAGGTTGGTGAGCGTGCGATAGACCCCTCACGAGGCAACCAGTGTAAATACACCTCCAACCCACAGCACGAGCCTACCTGGCAGCAACGGTGATGTAGTAAGGCGAGAGGTTGGTGAGCGTGCGATAGACCCCTCACGAGGCAACCAGTGTAAATACACCTCCAACCCACAGCACGAGCCTACCTGGCAGCAACGGTGATGTAGTAAGGCGAGAGGTTGGTGAGCGTGCGATAGACCCCTCACGAGGCAACCAGTGTAAATACACCTCCAACCCACAGCACGAGCCTACCTGGCAGCAACGGTGATGTAGTAAGGCGAGAGGTTGGTGAGCGTGCGATAGACCCCTCACGAGGCAACCAGTGTAAATACACCTCCAACCCACAGCACGAGCCTACCTGGCAGCAACGGTGATGTAGTAAGGCGAGAGGTTGGTGAGCGTGCGATAGACCCCTCACGAGGCAACCAGTGTAAATACACCTCCAACCCACAGCACGAGCCTACCTGGCAGCAACGGTGATGTAGTAAGGCGAGAGGTTGGTGAGCGTGCGATAGACCCCTCACGAGGCAACCAGTGTAAATACACCTCCAACCCACAGCACGAGCCTACCTGGCAGCAACGGTGATGTAGTAAGGCGAGAGGTTGGTGAGCGTGCGATAGACCCCTCACGAGGCAACCAGTGTAAATACACCTCCAACCCACAGCACGAGCCTACCTGGCAGCAACGGTGATGTAGTAAGGCGAGAGGTTGGTGAGCGTGCGATAGACCCCTCACGAGGCAACCAGTGTAAATACACCTCCAACCCACAGCACGAGCCTACCTGGCAGCAACGGTGATGTAGTAAGGCGAGAGGTTGGTGAGCGTGCGATAAATCTTGGGGCTTGTTGGGGGAGGCCCGCTGTTGCCTGCTACCAATGACACGAACACCCCTGCCTGCTCGGGATGGCAGCAAAGGTAAGGGAGGGATGGAGGAGGGAGGGGCCTGCTGTTTGTTGGCCCTTGGGGCTTGTAGGGGGGGGCGCCGCTGTTGCCCGCTACCAATGACACGAACACCCCTGCCTGCTCGGGTGGCAAGGAGGGGAGGGCAGGGGAGGGAGGGAGGGAGGGAGGGTAGGTGTGTCGTGTACTGTTAGTTAGAGCCTGCTGCCCCCTGGCGGGCGGAGGCCCGCTGTTGCCTGCGACCAGTGACACGAACACCCCTGCCTGCTCGGGTGGGGGATGGGTGGGAGGAGAGCGGGGGGGAGAGATGAGAGAAGGTGGAAAGAGGGAGCGGGGTAGGCAGTGGGGGAGGCCCGCTGTTGCCCGCCACCAGTGACACGAACACCCCTGCCTGCTCGGGTGGGGGATGGGTGGGAAGGGCAGGAGAAGGAGCGAATGGGGTAGGTGTGTTGTTAGTTGGAGCTCGGGGGGAGGCCCGCTGTTGCCTACTACCAGTGACACAAACACCCCTGCCTGCTTGGGTGGGGGATGGGTGGGAAGGCGGGGGGAGGCACAGTGGGGATTTGGAAGACGGGTGGGAAGGGGCAGGGGAGTAGGCAGAAGCGGGATGGGCCCACTTCCCACCAAAGACAGGAAACTTGAATCAAACAACTCCCATCACTCACCCTCGCCGCCCAGAGCATGGCCAGGTGCTTGAAGTAGGTCTCCTCATTGATCGCCACCGACATGCTCAGCACGTCCACACAGACAAGCAAGGCCAGCACACACCCACTTATCCTCACAGCTTACCCTGACCATCACGCAGCATGGCAGCATCTCTCTCACCCACTCACCCTCGCAGCCCTGAGCATGGCCAGATGCTTGAAGTAGGTCTCCTCATTGATCGCCACTGACATGCTCAGCACGTCCACACAGACAAGCAAGGCCAGCACACACCCACTTATCCTCACAGCTTACCCTGACCATCACGCAGCATGGCAGCATCTCTCTCACCCACTCACCCTCGCAGCCCTGAGCATGGCCAGATGCTTGAAGTAGGTCTCCTCATTGATCGCCACCGACATGCTCAGCACGTCCACACAGACAAGCAATGCGTGCTCACCCTCTCACCTCCCACTTACTCTAGCAGCTCTTAACATGGCCAGATGCTTGAAGCAGGTCTCCTCATAGATCGTCACCGACATGCTCAGCACTCACCTCCCCCCGGCCTGCTCCCACTCACCCTGGCAGCACAGAATGGCAGCATCTCTCTCACCCACTCACCCTCGCCGCCCAGAGCATGGTCAGGTGCTTGAAGCACGTCTCCTTATTAATAGCCACCGACATGCTCAGCACTCACCTCCCCCTCATACCCATGGCCCGACACACCCGCACACTGATCCCACTCACCCTCGCCGCTCTGATCATGGCCAGATGCTTGAAGTACGTCTCCTCGTTGATCGCCACGGACATGCTCAGCACTCACCCTCTCACCCTCATCCGGCCTGCTCCCACTCACCCTGGCAGCACACAGAATGGCAGCATCTCTCTCACCCACTCACCCTCGCCGCTCTGAGCATGGCCAGATGCTTGAAGTACGTCTCCTCATTAATAGCCACGGACATGCTCAGCACATCCACACCGTCAGCCACCGCGCGATCAACGGCTGCAAACACGTCCGAGTCCGATCCGACGGCCAGCTTCCCCTGCACCCAGATGGCCTTGTAGACAGCGATCCGTGCTCTGGGCGCCATGCCGCTCGCTGTACCGAACTGCACCCCTCCTCCTGACACCTTTACCGGGTTTCCTGCTGCAGCGCTGGTGAGCAATGGGCAAAGGAAGGGATGAAAGAAAGAGAGGTTCAATTGACAACCAACGGCCAGCTTGCCAGCCTGCCCTGCACCCAGATGGCCTTGTAGACTGCTATCCGTGCTCTGGGCGCCATGCCGCTCGCTGTACCGAACTGCACCCCTCCTCCCGAGACTTTCACTGGGTTGCCTGCTGCAGCTCTGGAAAGAAGGGGAGAAAGCAGATGAGGGAAGGAAAGGGAGGCATAGAGGAGAGGGAAGGAGAGGGAAGGAGGAGGAGGAGGGAAACTGTTGGTATCCTGCTTGAAACTCTCCAGGCACAGTTCATACTGAAGGCCAGCTTGCCACCGTGCCAGCTTGCCAGCAAGCCAACCAGCCTGCCCTGCACCCAGATGACCTTGTAGACGGCTATGCGTGCTCTGGGCGCCATGCCACTTGCTGTACCGAACTGCACCCCTCCCCCGGATACTTTTACCGGGTTGCCTGCTGCCGCTCTGATGAGCCTGAAGGGAGGGGGCGGGGTATTAAGACAGAGGGAAGGAGAGGAGAGGATAGACAGGAGGAGGGAAAGGCATGCAACCTGCTGAAAAATCTCCAACCAGATACCCAGATGGCCTTGTAGACTCACCCCGCACACCACGTGCCGTGGTCGCTGGCGTCCCGGGGAGAGAGGTACTCCGTGGAGGGGTCTACGGAGCCACCAGACGCCACCAGGCCCTCGGCAAAGTAGCGTGCGCCGATGATCTTCTTGCTGCAGCTCTTGAAGTCGCTGGTGGTGGTGCACTTGCCTCGCCAGCGGGGAGGTACTGGGGGATAGCCCTGCAGGAGGAGAGAGGAGAAGAGAGGGGGAAAGGAGCGGGTGAAGTAGCGCGCGCCGATAACCTTCTTGCTGCAGGCTTTAAAGTCGCTGGTGGTGGTGCACGTGCCTCGCCAGCGAGTAGGCAGATACCAGTATCCACAATTCTATTTTTATCATACCCCATAACATGCACCCCATATCACCAGGTTACCAGGTTACCATGCTACCACGTCACCAAAGGCACGACTGCATGCACCCCATGCTACCATGTTACCAGGTTACAGACACAGACAAACACATGTGCACACACACACCTTATCACTGAAGCTGGGGTGTTCGGGCCAGATACCCGTATCCACGATCCCAATGATCATACCCCATAACGACACACCCTCTCCATGTTACCATACCATGTTACCCTGTCAGCACACACACATGCATACCTTATCGCTGAAGCTGGGGTGCTCGGGCCAGATGCCCGTATCCACGATCCCAATGATCATGCCGTTCCCCGCGTTGCTCCTCCCGCCCACGCTCGGCCAGACGCGCGAGGGTAACTGCAGGAACTGCGGCGTGTGAATGGTCTGAACTGACACCGTTTGGGATCGCTCCACCTTGAGAACTGACTCGTGCCGCTGCAGGCGGTGGGCTTCTAAACGGGTCAGTTTGACGCTCACTCCGTTCAACACGTAGCGGTAGCTGTGGGGATGGGGGAGAGAGGCGGGGGATGGAATGAGAGAGGGGGAAGGGGAAAGGGAGTGCCGCTGCAGTCGGTGGGCCTCTGAGGGCGTCAATTTCACGCTCATTCCGGTCAGCACATAGTGGTAGCTGTTTTGGGGTATTGGGGAGGGGAAAAACCGAGCCTTGGAAATACCGAGCCATGGAATACCGAACCTTGGGGATGCCGAACCTTGGAAGAGCCTTGGGATTCCGAACCTCAGGAGCACCGAAACTTGAAAATACCGAGCCTTGGGAACACCGAGCCTTGGGAATATCGAGCCTTGGAAATACTGAACCTTGGGAACACCAAACCTTGGGAGTACCGACCTGTGCACGATGCGGCCCTTGGGAATACCAACGGCCTGCAGCATGTGCTGCTGCACGCCCCCCACGAACTGAGCAAGTACAATCCACGCCTTTCCTCATCTTCCCTCACCTTCGCACACTCCTGCCCTTGGGAGTACCCACCTGTGCACAATGCGATTCTTGGGAGTACCCACCTGTGCACAATGCGATTCTTGGGAGTACCCATCTGTGCACAATGCGATTCTTGGGAGTACCCACCTGTGCACAATGCGATTCTTGGGAATACCGGCGGTCTGCAGCATGTGCTGCTGCACGCCCCCCACGAACTGCGCGAACGCGCGCACGTCGCTCTCGCGCTCGTCCGCGCGCCTGCTTCCGCGCGGCCCGTCCAGCTCCCCCATCGCCTGCACCGCCGCCGCCGCCGCCGCTGCTCTTGATCTTGCTCGCCTTTCTCCTCTTCCTCCTGCTGCTCCTCCTCCCACTACTCCTGCTCCTGCGGTTGCTATTGATGCCACTGAAGCATTTAGAAGTCCTGTTACCGATTCCCCTGTGCTCCTTGCGACTCCGCTGCTTGCGCCTGCGGACCTTCCGCCTGCGCCAGCAGCACCACCTGTAACATACGGGGCGCCTGTAGCATCCGAATCGTATCCAGCTTCCAAGCTTTCCACGTCACCATCATCATCATCATCTGTAGCGGCTGTAGCGGCAGCAGCGGATGCAGTAAGACCATCGCCTGTAGCAGGAGCGGCTGTAGCAGCGAACCCGGGGATGCCGCCCTTATAGTCTATAACGGACGGCACGTTTCTGAAATACACGATATAGAGTTCCTCGCCACTGGGTCGTCTAGTTGACCCAGACGAACCTGCCGCTGACGTGGCAGCGGTTGTAGCTGCTGACGTGGCAGCAGATAGTGAAGCGCGTTTCTCTGGTTGTCGTCCGGGTACTTCCCATAACCGAGGCCCCGCTATAGTCACCACTGGTAGCGCGTCCTCGTTAGCGGCGGTAACAGCGGCGGAAGAGTTCGGGGGAGGCGGCGCGGGGATGGCGGGGAAGAGATACTGCGCGGATGCTGCCGAGAGGCGCGGAAGGCGGGGGAAAGGGATAAAAGAGGAGAGGCGGAAAAAGCGGGGGGTGAGAGGGGTGGGGAGGGGAGGGGAGACACGGCAAAGGGGAGGAAGAGGGGGAAAGATCATCATATTAGAGATGGGAGAGAAGGAGCCAAGGGAAGGGACGGGGGCCGAGTGACAAAACGCGCGCGCGGGAGCGAGCGGGGCGGTAGGCGGAGGTAGAGGCAACGTGATCGGAAGCGCTTGGGGAGGTGGGCGGAGTGAGGGTAGGCGTTAGGGGGGAACAAGGCGCGCGCGGGGCAAAAGGGCGCACGTGGGGGATCAAGGCGCGCGGGGAGGGGGGGGGATGGGGAAGGCGTGGGGAGAAAGAAGTGGGCGCAAGCGTACCTGGGGAAGTTGCGGAAAGAGCAGCGATGAGCGCAAGGAGCGTAACCGTCCCGGTGCTCCAAGCGCGTCGGGCAATAACGGAGCTTCCCCAGTCCCTGCTGCGGTTCATCGAACCGCGGAAGCGCGCCATTTGGCCTGCCTACAGTCGACCTCGCTACAATCACGCGAGTCCAACCTCGCTACAGTCACACGAGCCTTGGGATCTATATAAATACCGTTCTCGCGGGTCGATACCCGATCAGTGTACTCTCTGTGAGAACATCGTGCAAACACGAATCTGCTCACAACGAGGACTCCTGACGAGATCGCTGGCGGGAAACGATTATATACTGTAGCGTGTACTCCTTGTAAAGGCGCCGTCTTTGCCCTCTTGTGAATTATATGACAGTTCGTTCAATACGGTCGTTACTCGAAGCGCGGTTGGCCTCTTAAAGCCAGCTGGCCGCTGATCACTAGGAGCTATCTAACAACCCCTGGTGCCCGGGACACCGCCAGGAACACGAGATTATCGTTAGCAATATTGCACGACTCGTTGAAAAAGGCTCACGCTATTTCAATAGAATTACTAGCTACTAAGGATGCGCGCCTCGCAACGTCGCGCCACGACGAGCGAGTATGTACGACTAGGAGAAGGTACGAACGTTATGTCGTGTGTACCGCGAATCACGGCGCGAGCGGCGCTCTCGAAGGCAGTAAGGCGATGGACACGCGATGCGTAGGCGATGAGAAAATGAGCCGATCTTAGAACATGCGTACTCTCTCGACTTGACGAACCTAACAAGCATTTCCTTGGATATCGGAGTAGGTTGGCTGGGTGCCGCTCGATTCCCCACCCCGCAACCACTAGGATAAGAAACGTCAGTTACTGCCCCACCCACACCACTACGTCCTGTACGCGCTAAGATGCTGTCAATGAAAAATCGCTACTGTACTCTCCTCGGTCAGTGCAAACTGGAAGAAGCCTGGATCCCCCACGCACACGTTCCTGCACCGCAATCGGCGTTTCCTGCGGAGCCACGATGCGAGGAGGCAGGGGAGATGAGACGGCCTTGTCGATCTCTGACTGGCTATCGCGCCCCGATGATCCCCACCGCAACGATGCTCGGGGCTCCTGGAGAATCATGGAGGAAAGGGATGGATGGACTGGGGGTGTGGAGGACAGGAGGGATGTCGGTGTTCGGGTGCCTCCATTCGGTTGCTGCGGACAGCCATGGTAAACATTTGACAGTTCTTCCCGAGCACAGTGGAGCATACCGTATTTTCGTTCAATCGCGTGCTCTTGACTCAGGAGAATAAGCTCGAGGAATTGGTATTTCAAAAGGTTCACTGAGTTTCAGAGCGATACGTTTTTCGTTTGTAGGGGTTCTTGAATGTTCTGAGCTAGGATTCTCTTCGCCATGGAGGTGCTTGCGACGCTCGCAACCTCCAAATGCTTCGCATGCGTCACAAAGCAGTTTCTCCCACCGTCCGAGGTTGGTGTGAGGCGAAAAGGGGCATGGCTGCCTGTGCGACCACTGGCGTGGCCTGGGCGACCCGTCGCTGTGGCACGAAGTCTGCGGCGACATGAAATTTCCGAATTCGGCTGCAGCTTCGGCACCACGGCGCGGCAACCGCCGACATCAGCTGCAGTTTCTGTAGCGCTCGCGGGCTATTAGGGCAGGGTACAAATGTTCTGTCCCGCCCTTGAATACTGGTGTAAATGTTGGAATGCTTGTGCTCAGCGCTTCCGGAGGAATGGGGGAAACGAAAAGAGGGATGATAACAGCACGCAATTACGGTTTTCGTTTTTGCACTGCACGAGGCGCTAAAAACTTTCGCATCATTTCGGCGTCACGGGACGGAGAAAGCAACTGGACGCTTCGTCTCCAAACTCCCCGCCTACCACCCAAACCGACCGACTTGAGCGTGTTTTGAAATCCGGCTCGGCGAGCTTCAGCGCTCAAGCAATCATGGCTAGCCACGTTGCCAAGAGCTCTGCTGGCTCGGGTGAGGTACAAGCCTTTGTTCGGTGACCGTTGAACAAGCGGCAATAGAAATACACGGTACACGGCACCCCTTCACTGTGCCTAATGAGTACATTGACAAGATGAGTGAAGCTAACAAAGCCCCTGACCACAATATCAACCTCACCCGCAACTAACAAAGCCCCTACCAGTACACGTGTGCCCCTAACCACAATATCAACCTCACCCGCAACTAACAAAGCTCCTACCAGTACGTATATCCGTACACCTGCCTCTGCCTGTCTTTCATTGCAATTCCCTGTTGCTAAACCCACAATCAGAACTTGTTTTCTAGTCTGCCGCCCGCAGCAATCATCTCCTGTCCCTCATCAGCCCTTCCCAGTCGAATCAGTGCAGCGGCTACTAGGTAGGTTGCCTCGGGCCACGGGGGTTTGGATTGCTGGGCCTGGGAGGGAGAGGGGGGAAACGAAGAAAGGAGCAATAGGGAAGTGGGATATGATAATGCCATGCGACATGTGCTCCATGGGCTGCATCTGAAGGCACCAGGTAGGGTGCCTTGGACCACACGGCCTTGGACTGCTGGGCCTGGGAGGGAGAGGGAGGGCATGAATAAAAGAGCAATAGGAAAGTGAGCTTGGATAATGTCATGCTGCATGTGCTGCATCTGTTGCTACTAGATAGGTTGCCTCGGACCACACGGCCTTGGACTGCTGGGCCTGGGAGGGAGAGGGAGGACATTAATAAAAAGAGCAAGAGGAAAGTGAGCCCGGATAATGTCATGCTGCATGTGCTGCATCTGTTGCTACTAGATAAGCTGGCTCGAGCCATGCGGGTTTGGACTGCTGGGCCTGGGAGGGAGAGGGACGGAAGGCGAGATGGATAGGTGCTATGCTGCATGTGATGCATGTGATGCATGTGATGCATGTGATGCATGTGATGCATGTGATGCATGTGATGCACGTGATGCATGTGATGCATGTGATGCATGTGATGCATGTGATGCATGTGATGCATGTGATTCATGTGATGCATGTGATGCATGTGATGCATGTGATGCATGTGATGCATGTGATGCATGTCCTGCAACTGCGGTCACCAGAAAGAAGCTTGCCTCGGGGCATAAGGAACTGGTGGATTGTTGGAACTGGAGGGGAGGTGGTACCCACCCAGGTCGGCCATGGGATACTGGGCCCAACCATTTTCACTCAAAAGGAGATGCCATGGGTAAACTTCAATTCCACTCAAAAGGAGATGCCCAAACGGACCCGACATTACGAGCCACGAACAGGCTAAAAAAAAAAAAAAAAAACACAAGGAATGATTACACGAGTGGATCAGGAAATCAAGCAAGACTCTGGTTCCGATGCAGCTCCTTGCTTTAATGCAGCTGTCTTGCCCCTTACTGCATGTCCATTTGTCCTAATCTGACGAAATATCTCCTCCTAACCTGGATGGCATGGCACGGTTTGTCCTTACCTGTAGGGCGTCCTGGTAAGCTTCTTCCCAGTGCCCCAGTTGCAGATGGGACAAGCAACGCCGCGCAAACAGCACAGGGATCGGGGGCGAGTCACACTTGAGGAACTGTAGGAGACGAGAGCAGAACGCAGGGGTGGAGAGGTGTGGCACGCACGGAAAGAGGGGTGGAAAGAGGTGGCATGAAGGGCAGGAGGGGTGGAGGGGGTGGCATGCAAAAAAGGAGAAAGTGAGAGGGAGGTGTCAAAAGTGAGATGGGATCCTTTAGATAGGAATCACTGTAGTGCGATTGCCTCCCCTTATAATCACAATCACCTTGGTCCCACCCCACTGCTGCCTGTGGGACACCTTGTACGAGCCTCACAGCTATCACGCCTCCCACCACCCCACTTTCACTCCCTGCTTCGCTCCCACAACCAATTGCCCCACCCCACTGCTGCCTGTGGGACCCCTTGTACGAGTCTAAAAAAACATCGCCCCTTCCCAGACCCCTCCATCTCCCTTCATAATTACCTTGGTGTAGAAACAAATCCATTCGCAATCACCTTGGTGCAGTAGGAAAAACTCCTTCAACAATCACCTTGGTGTAGAGAAAAATCCGTCCATAATCACATTGGTGTAGAAAAAAATTCCTTTCATAATCACCTTGGTGTAGAGAGAAATTCCTTAATAATGACCTTGGTGTCTAAAAGAATCCTTTCATAATCACCTTGGTGTAGAGAGCAATCGCCTCCTCCCACTGCTGGCTTAGACATCCCCCTCCTTCACTCTCCCACTCCCCCGCATCCCCTTCACCTCTCGTTATAATCACCTTGGTGTAGAGAGCAATCGCCTCCTCCCACTGCTGGCTCTTGAACGCCTTGTCTCCCCTCTGCCTCGACGACACTAGATCCTGTATTTCGGCATTCCACACCTCAAAAGATGGCTGGGGGGGGAAGCAGAGCAGCAGGGGGGGACACAAAGGGGCAAAGGCGCACAAGAGGTGTCAGAAGGCCCTGTCTCCCCTTTGCCTCGACGACACCAGGTCTTGCACCTCAACATCTCACACCTCAAAGCACGGCTAGAGGGGGGATGGATGAAGGAGGGAGGGACAAAGGGGCGCAGAAGAGAGAGCGGGAGATGGATCACGTGGGTCTGTCTCCCCTCTGCCTGGACGACACCAGAGAAGAGAGAGGGCAGAGGAACCAGGGGGACGAGGCAAGGAGTAGGATTGAAGTGCATGAAATTGCCATATTGCCATATTGCCATATTGCCATATTGCCATATTGCCTTGCCTTGGTCCCCCTCTGCCTGGACGACACCAGGCCTTGCACCTTAGTGTTCCACTCCTCAAAGCACGGCTAGAGGGAGGGGGCAGAGGAGCAGGGGGGAAGTGGCGAGAAGTGGTGGGGGGGGGGGTAAGAAAGTCATAAGGGATGTAAGGAGTGTGTAAGAGTGTCATAAGGGATGTAAGGAGTGTGTAAGAGTGGCAGAAGAGGTCAACCCTTCTGTCTCTGCCTGGACGACACCAGGCCTTGCACCTCCGCATTCCACACCTCACAGGACTTTTGAGGTGCCTCAAAAGGCCTTGCACCTCCGCATTCCAGACCTTGCACTTGATGCAGCCTACCTCAGGAGGGGAACAGACTCATGCGACACACTGCAGTGCAATGCTCTCACCTCCTGCGGTGGTGTGAAGGATACAGTGACCAGCCTCCGATGCAGCACCTCCCAGTCCCCTTCCATGGCTGCCCGAGCCAATGGTGACGCTGCAGTAGCAGGAGCGCCAATCCCCTCCGCTTTTGTAATGCTCTCACCTCCTGGGGCGGAGTGAACGACACCGTGACCAGCCTCCGATGCAGCACCTCCCAGTCCCCTTCCATGGCTGCACGGGCCAACGGTGATGCTGCAGCAGAAGCAGCAGGAGCGCCGTCCCCCTCCCTCTCCTCTCCCTCTCCCGCAAGGCCAAGTGAATTGCCGATGCCCTGACAGGGGATGAGGAAGAGGTGGCACAGAGAAGTACAGAGCGGTACAGAGGGGTACAGAGTGGTGGTAAGCGCAGAGTCATTCGCAATAGCAGCATAGGTCGACGTCGAGGCTGCAGCAGCCATAGCAGCAGGAGAAGGAGCGTCACCCCCCTCCTTCTCCTCTCCATCTCCCACAAGGCCAAGTGAACCACCGATGCCCTGCCAGGGGGGGATGGGGAAGAGGTGGCACGGAGAAGGTTGGACCGGTACAGAGCGGTACTGAGCAGCAGGAGAAGCAGCGTCGCCCCCCTCCTTCTCCTCTCCATCTCCCCCAAGGCCAAGTGAACCACCGATGCCCTGCCAGGGGGGGATGGGGAAGAGGTGGCACGGAGAAGGTTGGACCGGTACAGAGCGGTACTGAGCAGCAGGAGAAGCAGCGTCGCCCCCCTCCTTCTCCTCTCCATCTCCCCCAAGGCCAAGTGAACCACCGATGCCCTGCCAGGGGGGGATGGGGAAGAGGTGGCACGGAGAAGGTTGGACCGGTACAGAGCGGTACTGAGCAGCAGGAGAAGCAGCGTCGCCCCCCTCCTTCTCCTCTCCATCTCCCCCAAGGCCAAGTGAACCACCGATGCCCTGCCAGGGGGGGATGGGGAAGAGGTGGCACGGAGAAGGTTGGACCGGTACAGAGCGGTACTGAGCAGCAGGAGAAGCAGCGTCGCCCCCCTCCTTCTCCTCTCCATCTCCCCCAAGGCCAAGTGAACCACCGATGCCCTGCCAGGGGGGGATGGGGAAGAGGTGGCACGGAGAAGGTTGGACCGGTACAGAGCGGTACTGAGCAGCAGGAGAAGCAGCGTCGCCCCCCTCCTTCTCCTCTCCATCTCCCCCAAGGCCAAGTGAACCACCGATGCCCTGCCAGGGGGGGATGGGGAAGAGGTGGCACGGAGAAGGTTGGACCGGTACAGAGCGGTACTGAGCAGCAGGAGAAGCAGCGTCGCCCCCCTCCTTCTCCTCTCCATCTCCCCCAAGGCCAAGTGAACCACCGATGCCCTGCCAGGGGGGGATGGGGAAGAGGTGGCACGGAGAAGGTTGGACCGGTACAGAGCGGTACTGAGCAGCAGGAGAAGCAGCGTCGCCCCCCTCCTTCTCCTCTCCATCTCCCCCAAGGCCAAGTGAACCACCGATGCCCTGCCAGGGGGGGATGGGGAAGAGGTGGCACGGAGAAGGTTGGACCGGTACAGAGCGGTACTGAGCAGCAGGAGAAGCAGCGTCGCCCCCCTCCTTCTCCTCTCCATCTCCCCCAAGGCCAAGTGAACCACCGATGCCCTGCCAGGGGGGGATGGGGAAGAGGTGGCACGGAGAAGGTTGGACCGGTACAGAGCGGTACTGAGCAGCAGGAGAAGCAGCGTCGCCCCCCTCCTTCTCCTCTCCATCTCCCCCAAGGCCAAGTGAACCACCGATGCCCTGCCAGGGGGGGATGGGGAAGAGGTGGCACGGAGAAGGTTGGACCGGTACAGAGCGGTACTGAGCAGCAGGAGAAGCAGCGTCGCCCCCCTCCTTCTCCTCTCCATCTCCCCCAAGGCCAAGTGAACCACCGATGCCCTGCCAGGGGGGGATGGGGAAGAGGTGGCACGGAGAAGGTTGGACCGGTACAGAGCGGTACTGAGCAGCAGGAGAAGCAGCGTCGCCCCCCTCCTTCTCCTCTCCATCTCCCCCAAGGCCAAGTGAACCACCGATGCCCTGCCAGGGGGGGATGGGGAAGAGGTGGCACGGAGAAGGTTGGACCGGTACAGAGCGGTACTGAGCAGCAGGAGAAGCAGCGTCGCCCCCCTCCTTCTCCTCTCCATCTCCCCCAAGGCCAAGTGAACCACCGATGCCCTGCCAGGGGGGGATGGGGAAGAGGTGGCACGGAGAAGGTTGGACCGGTACAGAGCGGTACTGAGCAGCAGGAGAAGCAGCGTCGCCCCCCTCCTTCTCCTCTCCATCTCCCCCAAGGCCAAGTGAACCACCGATGCCCTGCCAGGGGGGGATGGGGAAGAGGTGGCACGGAGAAGGTTGGACCGGTACAGAGCGGTACTGAGCAGCAGGAGAAGCAGCGTCGCCCCCCTCCTTCTCCTCTCCATCTCCCCCAAGGCCAAGTGAACCACCGATGCCCTGCCAGGGGGGGATGGGGAAGAGGTGGCACGGAGAAGGTTGGACCGGTACAGAGCGGTACTGAGCAGCAGGAGAAGCAGCGTCGCCCCCCTCCTTCTCCTCTCCATCTCCCCCAAGGCCAAGTGAACCACCGATGCCCTGCCAGGGGGGGATGGGGAAGAGGTGGCACGGAGAAGGTTGGACCGGTACAGAGCGGTACTGAGCAGCAGGAGAAGCAGCGTCGCCCCCCTCCTTCTCCTCTCCATCTCCCCCAAGGCCAAGTGAACCACCGATGCCCTGCCAGGGGGGGATGGGGAAGAGGTGGCACGGAGAAGGTTGGACCGGTACAGAGCGGTACTGAGCAGCAGGAGAAGCAGCGTCGCCCCCCTCCTTCTCCTCTCCATCTCCCCCAAGGCCAAGTGAACCACCGATGCCCTGCCAGGGGGGGATGGGGAAGAGGTGGCACGGAGAAGGTTGGACCGGTACAGAGCGGTACTGAGCAGCAGGAGAAGCAGCGTCGCCCCCCTCCTTCTCCTCTCCATCTCCCCCAAGGCCAAGTGAACCACCGATGCCCTGCCAGGGGGGGATGGGGAAGAGGTGGCACGGAGAAGGTTGGACCGGTACAGAGCGGTACTGAGCAGCAGGAGAAGCAGCGTCGCCCCCCTCCTTCTCCTCTCCATCTCCCCCAAGGCCAAGTGAACCACCGATGCCCTGCCAGGGGGGGATGGGGAAGAGGTGGCACGGAGAAGGTTGGACCGGTACAGAGCGGTACTGAGCAGCAGGAGAAGCAGCGTCGCCCCCCTCCTTCTCCTCTCCATCTCCCCCAAGGCCAAGTGAACCACCGATGCCCTGCCAGGGGGGGATGGGGAAGAGGTGGCACGGAGAAGGTTGGACCGGTACAGAGCGGTACTGAGCAGCAGGAGAAGCAGCGTCGCCCCCCTCCTTCTCCTCTCCATCTCCCCCAAGGCCAAGTGAACCACCGATGCCCTGCCAGGGGGGGATGGGGAAGAGGTGGCACGGAGAAGGTTGGACCGGTACAGAGCGGTACTGAGCAGCAGGAGAAGCAGCGTCGCCCCCCTCCTTCTCCTCTCCATCTCCCCCAAGGCCAAGTGAACCACCGATGCCCTGCCAGGGGGGGATGGGGAAGAGGTGGCACGGAGAAGGTTGGACCGGTACAGAGCGGTACTGAGCAGCAGGAGAAGCAGCGTCGCCCCCCTCCTTCTCCTCTCCATCTCCCCCAAGGCCAAGTGAACCACCGATGCCCTGCCAGGGGGGGATGGGGAAGAGGTGGCACGGAGAAGGTTGGACCGGTACAGAGCGGTACTGAGCAGCAGGAGAAGCAGCGTCGCCCCCCTCCTTCTCCTCTCCATCTCCCCCAAGGCCAAGTGAACCACCGATGCCCTGCCAGGGGGGGATGGGGAAGAGGTGGCACGGAGAAGGTTGGACCGGTACAGAGCGGTACTGAGCAGCAGGAGAAGCAGCGTCGCCCCCCTCCTTCTCCTCTCCATCTCCCCCAAGGCCAAGTGAACCACCGATGCCCTGCCAGGGGGGGATGGGGAAGAGGTGGCACGGAGAAGGTTGGACCGGTACAGAGCGGTACTGAGCAGCAGGAGAAGCAGCGTCGCCCCCCTCCTTCTCCTCTCCATCTCCCCCAAGGCCAAGTGAACCACCGATGCCCTGCCAGGGGGGGATGGGGAAGAGGTGGCACGGAGAAGGTTGGACCGGTACAGAGCGGTACTGAGCAGCAGGAGAAGCAGCGTCGCCCCCCTCCTTCTCCTCTCCATCTCCCCCAAGGCCAAGTGAACCACCGATGCCCTGCCAGGGGGGGATGGGGAAGAGGTGGCACGGAGAAGGTTGGACCGGTACAGAGCGGTACTGAGCAGCAGGAGAAGCAGCGTCGCCCCCCTCCTTCTCCTCTCCATCTCCCCCAAGGCCAAGTGAACCACCGATGCCCTGCCAGGGGGGGATGGGGAAGAGGTGGCACGGAGAAGGTTGGACCGGTACAGAGCGGTACTGAGCAGCAGGAGAAGCAGCGTCGCCCCCCTCCTTCTCCTCTCCATCTCCCCCAAGGCCAAGTGAACCACCGATGCCCTGCCAGGGGGGGATGGGGAAGAGGTGGCACGGAGAAGGTTGGACCGGTACAGAGCGGTACTGAGCAGCAGGAGAAGCAGCGTCGCCCCCCTCCTTCTCCTCTCCATCTCCCCCAAGGCCAAGTGAACCACCGATGCCCTGCCAGGGGGGGATGGGGAAGAGGTGGCACGGAGAAGGTTGGACCGGTACAGAGCGGTACTGAGCAGCAGGAGAAGCAGCGTCGCCCCCCTCCTTCTCCTCTCCATCTCCCCCAAGGCCAAGTGAACCACCGATGCCCTGCCAGGGGGGGATGGGGAAGAGGTGGCACGGAGAAGGTTGGACCGGTACAGAGCGGTACTGAGCAGCAGGAGAAGCAGCGTCGCCCCCCTCCTTCTCCTCTCCATCTCCCCCAAGGCCAAGTGAACCACCGATGCCCTGCCAGGGGGGGATGGGGAAGAGGTGGCACGGAGAAGGTTGGACCGGTACAGAGCGGTACTGAGCAGCAGGAGAAGCAGCGTCGCCCCCCTCCTTCTCCTCTCCATCTCCCCCAAGGCCAAGTGAACCACCGATGCCCTGCCAGGGGGGGATGGGGAAGAGGTGGCACGGAGAAGGTTGGACCGGTACAGAGCGGTACTGAGCAGCAGGAGAAGCAGCGTCGCCCCCCTCCTTCTCCTCTCCATCTCCCCCAAGGCCAAGTGAACCACCGATGCCCTGCCAGGGGGGGATGGGGAAGAGGTGGCACGGAGAAGGTTGGACCGGTACAGAGCGGTACTGAGCAGCAGGAGAAGCAGCGTCGCCCCCCTCCTTCTCCTCTCCAT